CGGTAAGATTCTATGGAACAAGAACATATCTTATAGACAAAAGTCTTATACCAGTAGTTTTGTTCTGGATTGACCCAGTTGTTGGATATAATTTCATAACATATGGTTCATTCGATACTGAACGTTGCAGTGAAGGCTTACTTTACATCGTTCAGAAACCGAAGGACTTCAATACAAAGAGATATAAGATAGGAAGAACATTTAATATAACTCAAAGATATGACAGTATAGTCAATAGAGTTAAGGTTGCGTTTGTTAACGATATGAGAGCTGCTGAAACAGAACTACTTGAAAAGTTTGAGAAAATGTATGGTGCTCCCACGAGAGGTAAAGAAACGTTTGAAGTAGATGAGATCGACAAAGCTATAAAAGTATTTGACGAAGTTGCTGAAAAATACATGTAAAGCGTTTATTTTTGGTCTTTTATACAAGATAGAAAATAACGCTAATTTTATTTTTTTTTTATTTTTTTATTTTGTATGTAAGAACAGAAATGTCAACAACAGAGAACACAACAACTGCTATCGTTCATGAAGCCATAAGTGAAGAATACGAGTGGGTTCAGTATAACAAACAGTTACGTCTCATTCGTTCGGTCAAAGATGACATGTACCAAATGCAAAGTATTTTGACAGCATGTTTTGCTCCAGATACTAAGAAACCACAAGACTGGTTTAGGAACCAAAGCACTATTGAACTATTAAATGAAGCTGAAAATTCGACTACGGATTTTCTCGTAGTCGCAAAAACTCGAGTGGGAGAAAAACCCCAGTCGCCAAAACTCTATGAAAATCGTGAAAATTTGCCAAATGGTTTGAGAGGTTGGTATGTACATAGACTTCTTGTAAATGCTGTAGCAATGTGGGCTTCACCTCGTTACGCTTGGTATATTTACAGACTTCTTGACGAACTTCATAGACAAGAACGTGAAGAGCTAGAGAACAAGCTTGAAGCAAAAGACAAAAACATACAGAAAAGAATACCACGTTCGGTACCAAAAGGAAAGGAAAAGAACTATAAGTATATGATTTACACTGAAGAGATGGAAAATGAAGAAGACAGAGATATGGTTATGTTGCATTTAGTCAGAAGAAACAACAAAAGCTTTTACGACTTAGCTAAGATTTACAAATCTGACAGAAATTGGTTCTATCGCGAAAACTTACCGATTTCAATGACACCAAATGAAGATGTTAAACAGATAGTTCAAGATACGTTACCTCAAACACACTATGATATGAAAGGTTGTACAATACTTACATTCAAAGAAGATTTACCGCTACTGAAGGAAAAGATAACAGAGTATTTTGACAACTTCAAAGAAGAAGAGTAAATGAACCATTTATTTTTCAAGCTTGACACCAAAGATGTTTCAGGTAGCTCTAGATGGTAAATTGTCTTGTCCGAGTCCTTCTGGCATTCCGAGTCCTTCCTTCCTACAGGAAAAAATTTTCCTTCCTACAGGAAAAAATTTTCCTTCCTACAGGAAAAGTTTTTCCTTCCAACAGGAAAAAATTTTCCTTCCTACAGGAAAAAATTTTCCTTCCTACAGGAAAAAATTTTCCTTCCTACAGGAAAAATTTTTCCAGTTGTCCGTCCGTAAACCATTCAAATTTTCGAAAATTGAGAACTTTTTGGCCGACCTTCAGGAAAAATTTTTCTTTCCGACAGGAAAAATTTTTCTTTCCGACAGGAAAAATTTTTCTTTCCGACAGGAAAAGTTTTTCTTTCCGACAGGAAAAGTTTTTCTTTCCGACAGGAAAAGTTCTTCCTTCCGACAGGAAAAGTTCTTCCTTCCGACAGGACACAAACGAATGTCCGACGTACCACCAACCGAGTCCATTCCAAAGCCAGAAGAACCGACAGCCCCAGCACCACAACAGACTAAGACTCAAACACTTACATTTTTACGCTTGACTTTTTACAATTTGAACTTTGTTCGCGTAGATGTGAATTCTGAAAGAAGTATGAGGGTCTTGTATGACTTTGTACTTCTCCCATAGTTCATGTCTGTCAAACTTACCTGCCATGGACTCTTTCATAAGTTCCATGAAATCGTCTTCGGACAATCCGGGGAAAAGTATGATATCAGTAAGTATTCTCTTTACATCCTTACTTAAACTCTTTGCTGTCTGTACACAAATGACAACTGAAATGTTAAAGTGTCTGAGCTTCTTGAGAATTCGACACATGTCTTGTTCTCTATTCTTTAACAAAGGATGAGAAGCAAAGTCGTCTAAGATAAGAAGACATCTATGAGGGTAAGTCTTCCAATCGTAAGATTGCAATTTCTTCGAAATGTATTCTATCTCTTTCTGTTTGTTTCTGAAGTGTTTCTTCTCTAATATTCTCTGCATTTCCTCATTTGGGTCTTTAAACTTAGAATTGACATACTCATTTATAGCATTGTACTTCAAAACTCTTCTTTGGTACTTCTTTATCCAATCTAACAACTCAGTATCTTTTATACATACTAACTTAGACTTTTTATAATATCTTTGAACGAATTGACGGTTTGGTCAAATTGACCCGAAGTACTACAAATGACTACTAACTCATAGAATGGGTTCTTCTCATCTAGTTCTTGTTGTTGTGCAGCCATTTTAAGATAAGTGAAAGTCTTACCCGACCCAGGTGGTGCGATTAGACCTGTTATACCATTCTGAGCAAATAAGAACTTGTCATGTATGGGTTTTATCTGAGCATTTTCCAACTTCCTCTTGTTCTTATTTAAAACATTCTCAAATTTCTTGTCAATGTCAGCAAACTTTTTTTCTAACATATTTTTAGAAAAATTAAAATTTTTATCTTTTAGGAAATGTCTAGCGATTTCGCTATCTATATTCGAGACAAGCTTTTCGACAGCAAAACATCTGTCGACCATAAAATCTTACATAGTGTAAACAAGAAAGGTGAATTTGTTCTAAAGTTCTGTTTCTGGGAATATGACAAGAACCATAAAACCTTAAGCAGAGAAGTCTTAAAATTTGTCAATGACAGACTTGTTGACAGAGATGACGCCTCTTGGAGAGATGAAGTCCAACAAAACTTCTTAGAATGCAAAGAAGACACATGCGCTGTTCTTGAAGATGAAATAGAAAACAGAATAGAAGAGCTATTAAAGGACAAAGAACTTTTACATAAATATGGTTCTGAGAAGTTTGACATAACTCCACCAGAAAAGAAGAAGAGAGAAAAGAAAGAAAAGAAAGTAGAAGAGAAGAAAGAACCAGAGCCAGAGAAGGGGAGATATGACATGTAAAAATAAAATTTTATTTTTAGAACATTTCTGGGTCAATGTCAATGTTCTCTTCCTCTTTAGGAGCAAACACTGGCTTAGACTCTAAAATCTTTTTACCCAATTTACCTTGAACTTCAACTATCTTAGACTCATAATATTCATAGTCGTCTGCTTTCTTTGGTTCATAAGGTATAACAAGTTTGTATGCTTTGCCTTCTTTAAGGTTTGAGAACCTTCTGTCAAAACTTTCTTTGACTGTTAACAAACCTTCTATGTCTAAGTCTTCAAATTTCGCACCATTTTTAGTCACAATAGCAAACTTAACTGGTTCGATGTTCCAAACTTTGTCAAATGTAGACTTTTCAAAATGGTAGAAGTAAACATTCAAATATGTGAATGGGTCTAGTTCTTCTTTAAGTCCTGACATATACTTGTTGACTGAGATGAATTTCGTCATCTTTTCTATCGGATAAAAAAAATATTTTTTTTAAAATTTACTCAGAAAAATTTTTCTTTGTATATACACCATTCTGTACGTCTAAAAGATTTTTGACATTTGCCAAGAATGTACGTTTAGACGCTGTCATATAACCATACTCTTGACAATACTGTTTATACGAATCGTACAATGACCTTTCATCTAAACACTCAAAGTCGGTTTCATCTATAAACAGTTCATATACACTCTTGTTTGCTTCTAACAATGTTTGTCTCTCTTCGGTATGTGGAATTTGTCTTGGATTGAACTTTGAAATATCTAATGTCATGAAATATGAGAACAAGTGGTTGTAAAAGTCAGATGTCAAAGTTTCTGCTAAGTCGTCAAAATATTCTGTATCTTGCATATGAGCTTCTGACGTTCTGACAACTACATATCTTCTGTCAGAACTTTCTAACTTCATCGGAACGGCGTTGTTTGAAACCATGACGAAGTTTGCAACATTTTCACAAACTCTTTGGTCTCTATACTTTCTTTCAACAACTCCAACTTTGTCTGTTATAAGACTCTTCAAAGCATCCGAGTTCAAAACCTTTGTTGTATCTATACTTTGAAGTTCGTTACATACTATAAGTTTCATATTCTCTATTGAAGAGTTAAATTTACCGCAGATGTTTTCTAAGTTTGTCATATTCGGGTTCGAATAGCCCTCTAACAGTTTGCATAAGATATCTGTAAAGAAAGTGTTCTTACCTGTTCCTTGTTTTCCAATTATGATGAGAGCAGTTTCATTTTTAGCACTTGGATGTTGTAAGATGTTTGCAAACCAACATAAGATATACTCATAGACTCTTTCGTTTCCATTGCATATAATTTCTTTGACATGGTCTAACCAAGCTTCTATAACATTTTCTTTCCATTCTACTTGTTCGTATTTATATCCAGTGAAGATAGAATAGAAGTTTGGAGATGGTGTATAGAACTTTATACCACGAACTGAAAAATCTTCTAACTTTGACAATAAGATATCCCAAGCATCTAACATCTTCATACCAACTTGTACGACTTTTATTTTCTTAAGTTTCTGTTTACATTCTTGTTCTGAAACTATTGTCGCTCTTGGTTTGTTAAAGACAACATCCCATTCTTTCATGACATAACATTCTGGGGCAGAGTCGACATAAATGACTAAACGTTTCAAATTCTCGACTGCTTTGTTATAGTCTCTAAATGGACACATATTTCTGAAGGCTTGGAAGTCATAAAAATCTGAAACGTCTATTCTGTACATTTTTATAAAAATAAAAAAAAATATTTTTTTTATTCTTGAGCTATTTGTTGTTCTTGACTTTGTTGTTGCATTTGTTCCATTTGTTGCATTTGTTGTTCTTGAGCTATTTGTTGTTGAAGTTGTTCTTGTAGTACAATACTTTCACCAGTTGCATCTTCCAATTCGAAACTTTCTGCCGTCATTGACAAATACATAGGACATAAAAGTTTTACAGGAACAAAGTTTGCGTCAACTAAGGTTAAGTTTATGTTTGCTAAAGTGTTTGAGTTTACTAAAGCTGAAAACTCTGCATTCGAATGAACAATAGGCAAACCAGCAGAGAAAGTGTTGTTTATACGCATGAGTATCTTTTGGTCATAGTAGTTTCTGTCGACATTCGAATAGCACTTTGAACCTAAGTTTGAAACAATATATAAAATAGGTGTACTTAAAGTCAATGGAACAGACATTCCTTGTATGACACCTTTTCCTGTTATAGGAAACTGTTGGTAGTAAAAACCAGATATAAGTTTTGTATTATAGCTCATATCGTTTATACTAAACTCAGTCGGACATCCAAACATAATGAAACCTGCTCTAGTTGCAGCACATGTTACATCCGTCCTTAAAGTATTAAATAAGTCAACAAAACCTGTTGGTGGTATATCTGAGTAAGTATCTTCAAAGGAGTATTTTTTACCATTCACAACAACAAAGTCTTCTGGTGTCAAAAGAGCAAAACAGGCTTTAGTCGTCATCGTGTTTAAGGTCAGTTTACAATATCGTCCTTGAGGACTTTGTAAGTTTGTTGTTATAGAATTATATGACTCAGGGTTTTTAGTCGTAATAGTATAAACCACTATGTCTTCTGCCATTTTTACTTAGCAAACAAACTTTAATGAAATGTTGTGGTCGTCAAATATTTTTATGACGTCTGGGAAACTATATTTTAAGTTCAACGTTTCACCTCCTTTCATAACGTATATCTTGTCAATGACATTGTATGAAACACCACAGCAAGCAATGTCGGGTTCTATTTCTTTGATGTTTATATCGTCTGCCTCTGTCAAAAGTTTCAATAGTTCTTTCAAAATTTCATGAGGTGCGATGACATATGAGTTCACTTTTACAGGGTTGTGTTCGACCAAGTTTAACATTAGACCTAAAGCCTGACAAATCTTCTCCTGAGTTTTAAGTTTGTCTTTAAGTTGTTGGTAGTCGTTTCGAATATCTGCAACAGAACTTAAGTCTCTGCTAACTTCAGGATATGTTGGTTGTTCTTTTACAGGAACTATTGTTATACCATCTTCGTCTTCGTATGGTTTTCCCACTTCAACATCTCTGTCTTTGACATTGACAACAACACTTTGACTGTTTGTTTGAGTTGGTGAATTTAACTTCACATCTGCCATCGCCATTAAACCTTTTGAAACACTTACGCTTCTATTTTTCGGAAATGACATTTTACTTAGAATAAAAAGATGGACGTATTTGAGTATCTCTTCGAATTGAAGCAGAACAAAGTTTACACACACAAACAATACAAGTTCATTGACAGAATAGTTCTTTACACAAACAATGGAAAATGTTATAGAATAGCAGTCTTTGCTGAACCAAAATATTTTCATAAAGCAAAGAAAGTTGGTATAACCGAGATGGTGAAAGTTCTTGACGTTGACAAAAATATAACAACAAAACTGACCGATATTTCTAAAGGTAAGTTTTTAATACAATATTATATCAAAACTGGCGTACTGTCAATATTTGACGGAGAGAAGCCAGTTCAAGAACAACTTACTGACCTGCTGCCAAAATCTGCTCGATGGAAGCTGTCGTTATACCAATCTGAGGAGCCCCAGCAGGTTTCATCGAACGAATCTTCAAAAGAGCATCTTCCGTGAAAAGTGCTATTGGTTTTGTAAACTTCTTTGCTTTCAATTCATCTGGACCGTCTCTGTCACCAGTATATTGTATTTGAACTGTACCAACAGTTGAAATACCACCCATAAAGTCTTCTGAGTCAGCAAATGGAATGCCAAGCCAAAAGTTTGAACGGTCTCCATTTGTATATTGAGTGTTTTGACTCCTGTATGGTCCATACTTTCACATATGGCATAATAGAACTTTGCATTTCAGGGTTAATGGTTGTTGTGAAGTTGTTGTTAAAGTTCATAGCATCTAATGTCAAGTTGTATGACCTCATATCCTCAACTGTAGAATATTCTTCTCTTGGATAGTATTTGCCATCTATGTTTATATGATATTTAATACCGGGGTTGTAGAAACAAGAATAGTCATTTATAGTTCGTCTGAACAGTACAAACATAGTATCTGCATGTTTCATTGCAGTTGTTAAGGCAATATCTGTTCTTGCACCTGGGTCAGCACTTTGGTTTCCAACTTCACCTGCAAAGTCTTTGACAGATATTTGGTGTATAGGGAACATAAGTGGAACTGCAATATATTTGGCAGCTAAAGCATTTGAAATATCTGGGTCCAACATATAGACTGCAAGTCTGCTTTCTATTCTCTTGCATTCAAACTTTTCGCATGTGAACTTAACTGGGTCCCAAGCAGTTCCAGCAGCATTGAAGTAGTAGTTTACTTCAGTGTTGAGGTTTGAGAAACCAAAGTCTAAGTCAACTTTGTCTTTGCAAAAGTCACAGAACTTGGCTCCACCAGTTCCAGCTACAGAAGTGAATGGGTCTTGTGTTGGTGCAATGACTAAGTTATTTTTGCTTGGAGTAAGTTCGATAGAAATTTTTCCTGCCCAGTTTGGCAAGTATCTTAAAAACCTGAAGATGAGGAAAGATGACAAAGGAACTCTAAGTTTCAATTTTACTTTGGTTACTGCTGCTGCAGTTTGTCCAGAAAGGTCAACATAAACTCCTGGAACGTTAGGGTCAAGTCTTCTTATTTTCTCAATAGTTGCATACTGGTCTGTTTGTTCTCTAGCTTGTGGTTGTACTGAGTTTCTCAAAGCGAACCATTCATAGTTTGCCCATGTTACTGTTTGAACTAAGTCAGAGTTAGAATATATCTTATATCCCATAAAAACTTCTGGAGCATATTGGTATCCGACATAGAAAATTCCATTGCAACCTTTCTTGTCAGACAACTTGGCAGAAGGTTTTATTTCAATGTCTTGTTCCACGTATAAGAAAGAGTTGTCAATAGAAATAATATGAAACCTGTCGCAAGCAATATCTACTGTTGTTGAAGAACCTTCTCCAAACTCACCTACGTTTCCATAAGAAACAGCAGTTGTATATTCGTAAGTTCCAGGAACTATTTCTGACCTTCTAATGGCATTGTCGCATTCGTTATACCATTCGGAAACATTTCCATTCATGGCATCCAAAACTGTTGGCGTTATATTCTGAGCGGCGTACATTTCATATGGGTAAAAATATAGAATAGTTGGATTTATATGTCATAATAGAACCCACTCCGACCAAGCTTTACTTTCTTCCTGACTGAGTTTTTAACTCTTCTTTTTCCTTCATTGCCACTACTTTCACTAGATGAAGTTACTTCTTCACTACTTTCACTTTGTTCTACTCTTCTTCTTTGGTGTCGCTTTGGTAACTTGCCCTCTGCTTCAAGTTGTTGCATCTTTGCCTCATGTTCACCTAGTATGTTGCAAATTTCCCATGTCCTTTTTGCCTTTGGGCTCTGGTCGCCCATCTCAGGTAACCTATATCCTAGAAAGAGTTTGTCATAGTCTGTATTTGAGTCTTCGCGTATTGTTTGCATGACTCTTTCCTGAGTTTCCGGTTCAAGCTCTTCAAACAGTGCCTGTCCATATGGAATAAGCTCGTTTCCAAATATATGTTTTTGTAGCCATTCTGGTTTTCTTTCCATGTTACCAACAATATCTTTTGTGAATGGAAAAGCTTTTACCCAATCTTTCAGTCTTGCGTCATTTATTTCTGTAGTTGGTTTTATTTTGTCAAGGAACATGTTTTTCAATACTAACATTTCATTTGGTACTGTCCATTTGAGTTTTCTTAAATATTCATCCCTTCTCGGTTCATTGTCTGCAAAGTAAGTTTTTATGACATTTTGTAAACTTTCGTTTGCAAGGTCATGTACAATAGGTTCTCTTCCTTCGCTCTCCCTAACTTTCTTTCTAAACTCTTCACCAAATATACCATCTCTATGGTTCTGTGTAGTTCTTTGAGATAAATGTTCTAGAACGTCAGGTGTTATATTTCCATCAGCCATGTTCATTTCATACTGGTCCAAAATATCTGCATGTTTCATATCTTTCAATGGCATTAAAGCCGCGCTTAAAATACCAGCTATATCTCGTTCACCATTCAATTCCATTGCGTCTACAACTTCTTGGAATTGTGGTTGTAAGTTTATGAACCACCTATCCGGATTAGCTTTATGACCCCATCTCATTGTAGTTCCATAGTCTGCAGAAACAAAAGTAGGTTTGTTTCCATCTTGGTTAGGTTCTGAATGAACTTTAAACAATGTTTCATTTCTATATGTTTTCTTGAAATTTAACCTTTTATTTTCACCGAGTTCATCCGAAGATTGAACGTTAAATGCTCGTAAGTAAAAAGGGTTGTTGTATTTGTGTACATTTTTTTCAGTTCTTCCATTCTATGCTGAATATTTTCATCTGGTGTTGGAGTCTTTTGTATGTCGGCGAACATTTTTCGATATTCTTCTACTATGTCAGCCGAATTTTTTTTAGACTCTTGGAAATATTCCATATTCTCCGCATACTCTTGTTGAGGGTCAAGATTTTTCGGCTGTTCCAAATCTTCATCTAGTTCTGTGAAGTTAGTTTCCAAAGGAAACTTGTTCGTTTCCTTCAGGCTCTTCTAGCTGTTGTTGCTGAACTATTTCTTCCATGTCTGGTTGTATCTGAACTTCTTCCTGTGGAGTTTCTTGTACCTCATCTGCTGGCATTTCATATATTCCGAGACCGTTTTTAACAATTTCCCTATCTACGTCATCCGCATTCATAAGCTTTTGTTCTTTCGTTCCGTCTCTATTTTTTACGCGTTTCATGACGAAAGTTGAATTGTCATTTAGCTCTGACATCAAATATCTCGGAGTAAATTCGTTCATGTCATTTGGATGATATGCTATTAAATCATATCCCTTAGCGAGCTTGTATTTTCCAGGTTTGAGATTATATCCGTTTTGGTGCTGAGCCATAAAGCTAAATAGGTTCGGGTCAGTATTTCCATCCTTGAACTTTCCAATAGCTTCTTTATATCTGTCACTAAAGTCAACAGTATCTGGGAAACCACACTCTTCTTTAAGCATTTTTAAGAATTCTTGGTTTCCTTGTTCTCTACTTCTTTTATGTCCTTGCTCTGTTTGTGGTTGTTGTTGTGCAGGGTTTTGAACTGTTGGTTGCTGTGCTGGTTGTTGTGTTGGTTGTTGTGCTGGTTGTGGAGGTGGTTGTTGTGCTGGTTGTTGTGTTGGTTGTTGTGTTGGTTGTTGTGTTGGTTTTGGTGCATGCCTGTGTCTGTGTCCATGTGACGATGTAAATGTTCTAGGTAGTCCTGGTGCAGGTGCTTCTCTTGGAGGGTTTGGTGGTATATAAGTTCCACCAGATGGCACATATGTTCCATCTGCAGCGTAATGTCCTACCTGACTTTTCGTTCTTAAGAAAGCATTTACTAGGTCTGTTTTGGTCTGTTGTAACTCTTTTTCTTGACTTTTCACAACAGTTGCTCTAACGGCGTCATAGGCACTTTGAACTGCCTGTCTCGTTGCTGCATCTGTTATTTTCGTCATATTTTGTGCTACTTCTTTTAACTCTTTGTCGAAACCTTCAGACTTCAGTTTCTTTCCAGATGAGAAATCGTTCACTTGTTTCACCTTACTATGAAGAGCTTCGAAGGCGTTCTTAAAGTCAGCATTCGTTAAAGCTTCATTTGAACTGTCTTCATCCGCTTGTATTTTTGTCCTTATTGACCCTATAAGCTGGGCTGCTTTAGCGTTGGCTTGGGCATCTACCCAGTCATTGTTAGCTTTTATATATTCTGCGCTTTTCATTGCCTTTTGCATGGCTGCGTCGTTATTTTTACTTTCTTGTGCTAAGTTTTCATACTGTACGGTTTGGTTTTGCAACTGTAAAAGTTTTTCTGCCTTTACATTTGCTTCAACTTCCTTTTTATACTCATCGCTATCCATATATGTCTTCAGGGCTTTTTGTTTTATCTCTTCATCTTTCAGTACTTTATATCGAGTAGTATGGTTTTTCAAATTTACAACATCTTGTTCCATTTTTGCTACTTCTGCTGCTTTTTCTGACACTTTTTTCGCATATTCCTCTGTACTTAGTTCTTTCAGTTGTTCTTCTTTCTTCTTTTTCTCTACGTTTAACTCATTGAGTTTCTTTGTGTGTCTGTCATATTCTAGTTTCTTTTCGTTTTCACTTATTTGCTTCTGTATGTCTATGTTTGACTTTTTGACATCTGCTATTTGATTTTTGAGTGAACTCAAATTCATTTGACTTTGAGGGTTATATGCTGTTCCGTCTGCAGCTCCACCATAGCCTGCCATTTTCGCTAAAAGTGCCGCTCTTAAACCTCCACTCTGTGCACCAAGAACTCGGTTTAAGAGCATAGGATTGCTTGACATTTGTTGCAACATAGTGGGGTCATTCAGCATTTGTTGTTGCAACTGTTGTTGTGGTGTCAGTTTTACTATTGGATGTTTCAATGCTCTCTTCCTCTTACGTATATTCTTACGTAGCTTACGTGGCATTTTAAGTGAAGTTAAAAAGCGGTTTTATACTAAACATCTTCGGGGCTAGAGGGCGCAACGCGCCTGGAAGCCCCAATACCTTTTTTTTTTTTTTTTTTTTATTTAGAGTATGGGTATTCCTCTGGTATTTATTAACAATTACAAATGATAGCTATCATATAACTTTGTATAATGTCTAATTTTTTTTGATTTTTCATACAAAAAAACAACAAAAATTAAAAATTAAATTAGGTTAAAGCTAGGATTTTGTTCAGTCTACTTATCTTTAAGTGTGCATGTAAGCATTAAGATAGAAACAAAATATCAAAATTTTCAATTTGAAAATCCAGCCCAATTGTTTGTATCATATAAATGCATCTTAGTAGTAAGATTGATTGTATTTTCTATTTTATTTAAAACTGAATTAAAATCATTATTTTGTTGATTATTTTGGAGATCAATAATATCTGTAATAGGGGTAAATCTTTGAACAGGCAATTGTGTTTTCTGTGCTATTATCACCCCATCTTTTTCATAAAACTTATCTGAATTCCATTTACCACCACATTTTGAGTTTGCCATATCGACATAGTATAACTTGAATGATGTTTTGAGATCCTTCCAACTATCTTTCATCTTTTTTCTTTCATCATGAGATATCTTTGAAGGTGGTAATCCTTTTAGAACCAAGCAATAGCAATAAAATGGAGAAATATGTAAGAAATCTGTGCAATCAATATTATCCAGTTTATGGTCAGCTTCTGATGAATCAGTCATGAAAAATTTTTGACATTTTTACGCTAAAATCAAATTTGAATGAGGTCTATGCAACTCTAGTTGTCCTACTATATTATCGTGATCTAATCCGATACGAATGTTCATTGAATTGAAATTTTTAAACGTTCATTTTTTTATAAAAATTTCTGAAATTTCGTATGATCCGTAGCAAAAAATCTGCACAAAACAATATGACATCTGCTGCAGATATAGCTAAGGACACGAGATCTGAATTCGAAAAAGCAGGTTTTGATGTTCCTCCGGTAAATATTCGAAATGCAGCACAAGCTTCCAAGGAAATAGAATACCTTTCTGAAAAGATTGCTCAAGGCGTTGAATGGGATGAACAAGTTAAGGCAATAAAACGAGGAATGGGTCTAGTCAATGGCGGAGCCTTAGAATTTGATGAATTTTCAGACAAGCTTTCAAATTTAGGACCTGGACTTGTTGCTGGATGTTGTAATTTACGAAGTGCATTAGTCAAACAATCATGTTTATTTATAGCGCAATTAGTTCATAATTTACGCAAAAAATTTGCTGTTTTTGGTGAAGTAATAGCGCCTTTGTCAAAACAAACTACGCATGGAACATTGATTATAGCCGAAAGCTGCAAATTAGCAATTTTCGAAATTCCTAAGCTAACTATTATGGAAACCATGGATGAGATAGCTGTAAACTTTCTCTACAAGCCATTCCCTAAGCACAAACTCTATTCTATACCAGGTCTCGAGATATCAGATTCAATTCGCCAAAATGTCATGACAGAGCCACTTCCCAAGCTTCCTTCCATGCCATCTGCCGCCAACCTAGGCTTTACAAGCCATCACACTGTCTGCGCGATGGAAAATATCGATGATGGCGCTTTTATTTGCCAAATTCCAGGTTTATTGTGTCATCAAGACGAAATTCGAGCGGAAGAAGGTATTCCTCGCACCTGCATCACTATACAAGGCACTCCCGTTGCTATAGACATCTCACAGACCACAAGCAAATACGCATTGTACATAAGAAGAAGTTTCCATTTCAATTGTGTTGTAAAACTACAAATTGTCAATGGAAATGTCTGTGCAATGCTTTATGCTGCTAGATCAAGAGGTCCTATAACTGATGAGAGGTCTTCTTCGTCTGGTCCTGCTATAATGAAGGGAACAGAGCTCTTCCTTCCGTTCGATTCAGATCTGCCTTATCCGATTGAGAAAAAAGCGTGGAAAATAAAGAAAACGAAGCCTCCAACGAAAACAAGGCCAAAACCAAAACAGAAACAGAATAATAACACAAATAATAACCAGACAAAACCACCTCCAACTAAAAATGTTGCAAAAGGAAGCGAAAGAAGCCAGAAAAATAAGAATTCACATGATCAAACAAATAAAATTTTGCCAAGTGTTAAATTGACACTTTTATCGTCATTCATGGAAGATGATTTACCTCCAATTCCGATTGTTATACAAGAAGAAGAAAATGAAGTTGATGCAAAAGTTTTGGCCCAAAAAAGACACTCAACACATCAGATTCGAAATATGTCTGATGCAGAATGAAATTTTATATATTTTTATTGAATAAATTGTTTTTTATATGCTTGTTTATTAACTGTTCATAAGTTCTTTTTCCTCCATATGAAATATTTGCAGCATGTAAAAGGAGAAGTTCGGCTATTTCTTTACTATTATTCCAATCTGCAATATGAAGAGCAGTTTCTCCACAATCACTTTTTTCATTGATATTTGCACAATGTGATAGGAAAAATTCGCAAATATAAATGGAATATTAAACATCGGTGTATAAACAAAGCATTTGTTTACATCATTAGTTTGATCGAAATAAATCAAAAATGCTTCAAGATGTGGAAATTAAAAACCGCTCTATGAGTGCTTTCTGAGACTCTGTTTGTCAGAAAGTATACATTTGTAAACTTTCTGACACTAACTTAGTGGATTTTTGTGTCAAAAAGTACTCAATTTTCCCCTCAAACGATGATTTTTAAAAAGCGCACAATTTTTGACGACCTTATACAAACAACAACTTAATAAATTTGTTAAGGGTACAAACACCACTTTCTGACATTTTCTATAATCTATCCCAAATTTCTCAGATAAAAAGTTAATATTTTTGGTGGGAAAAAGTTAATATAAATCACTATAGAGTACATAATATGGTTTTTGAAAATATTTCACTAGTAAAATAAATATATATATTGACATTATGAGGGCACGTCAAAAAGTGGTAAGTGCACATTTAAAATCATATAAAAAGAAGACCAAATTGAAAACCCAATTTTAAGTATTATGTTTTAAAACGTATTCAAGTATTTTGACCAGAAGATCTAATCGATTAGTACTACTCTCTCCTGTTTCTGAATTACTAGATGGTTTCGCATTTCCATCTTTATTCAAGTGAAGTTCAAGTAAATATAATTTTGTTTCAATTGATTGTTCAGGAACTTTACAATCTTTCCTTTTTGAGAAACAAAAACCAGTGCCATTTTTGAATCTAAGATCCTTGTGACTGTAAGATAAATCTATTTGTTCTTCGAAATTTAGAACTTTCTTTTTTGTTTTATTAGGCGCTAACTGATTGGATTCTGTAGGTGTGGGTTGTTCGCTTGTTTGGTCATCTCCATTTTCAATGGCATTCTCATCCATATCATTATCTTGTGTTTCTTTAGCAAAGAACATGAAAACAAGGTTGTCTATGTTATTGAGTAAACGATCACCGCTTGCATCAAAAATTGTTAATACAGTGCCTGGACTATATTCATTTTCTTTCTTATCTGTTGATATCCATCGAATAACAACTTCTTGACTGGTTAGATCAAACTCGGCAAAAGATGATTCACCGAGTTGATCTTGCAGAGATTTCTTTATATCGGCATTTGAACTCATTATGAATTAATTTTCCATCAATTATAAAATAATTATTTGTTTTTCTGACAATAAATTATTTACGTGACAAAAAATTTAATAATTTTTTTTAATCTATGCTTTGTTCTGAAAATACCAAACAAACGTTCAAAATGATTTGCTCACCAAAGGTATTTTGCAGTACAATGCAAAAAATCCAATATACTAAACTAAAAAAGCGAAATCACGTATCAATTATTCCGGAAATCAAAGAACCAGAACCAACTCCACCACCAGAAACAAAGGAAGAGACAACACAGAATAGTGATCAGAAAATTACTGAAGCATCAAACGAAAATGCTGATTTTCTTGAAGTTTCAATCGATAATCAAACAAATCAGACAAATCCTCAAAATTCGGCGCAAACTAGCAATCCCCAGCAAATTCAAACTAATCCAACTCAAAATTCAGAGCAACATAAAGATAATGAGCAAATAAACATTCCAAGCTTATACTTCTCCGATATCTAACAATCCTCAACAATCAGATAATACTAAAGCATACTTAAATCCTGCTAATCCATTCCAAAATGGACAAAATGCAGAAAAACCTACTCAACAAAACACCCAAAATCAACCTATAAATGAAGGAACAAAGAATACAAGCCAAAATGCAGAAAAAATACAAAATGACCAAAATAATCAAAATACTTCAGGAAATATTCAAAACCCAAGCCAAATCATTTCAGAAAATAAAGACAAAGACAAAACTACTCAAAACACTTCAGAAAATGCTCCAAATCAAAATAATAATAATTTTGACCAAATTATTCAAAATCCTGTTCCAAACCCTGCAAATCCAGGTGACATATCTATTGGCCAAGGTGATTTTGCAAATCCTGCCAATTCATTCCCAGAAGTAGAAATTTCAGAAAATCCTACTCAACAAAACCCTCAAAATCAGCCTACAAATGAAGAAGCAAAGAATGCAACACAAAATACAGAAAATGTCCAAGAAAAACCAACACATCAAGAAATACAAAACAATCAGCCTCAAAACACTTCAGAAAATGCTAAAAAACCAAGTCAAATTATTTCAGAGAATAAAGATAAAGCCCAAACAACTCAAACTACTTCAGAAAATGCTCAAAATCAAAATAATAATAATTTTGGTCAAATTATGCAAAATCCGGTACCAAACACTGCTAATCCAGGTACTATAACGATTGGACAAGGTAATTTATCAAATCCAGCTAATCCATTTATTAATCAACAGAATTTGCCTCAGAATAACAACAACAATCAACAACAGAACGAACAAAAGCCTCCAGATCCGAATTTGGCTCAATTTGGCCAGAACAAACCTATTCAAATTCAAAATGTTACAAAACCACCAGAAAATGCACAGAAACAGACCCCACAAAATCAGGATCCAGCCCTGCAACCGTTTCCAGGTGTCAAATTCAAGAGTATTAGAGTTGGAATTAAATATCAGGAAGATGATCAAATTGTATCAGTTCTTGCCAGAAATTCTAAAGATACATGGCAAGTTCTCATTTCTTTAGTCAACAAAGCTTCAAATATTGATGAAATTATGGAAGAAATTTGGAATTTCATTGAAGATTCGTTAACATTTGCTCCTGAGAACCAGCATCCATCTATTATCTTTCAATTCACCATTCTGGTCAATTATCTTTGTACAATTTATCCGGAATTTTTTGATCGTTTGTTTGAAGACCTTTCACAAGAAATTCAGAGCCTCAAAGATACAAAATATGAAAAGGAGCAAACATATTGCCACTATTACGTTGCATATCTGTTGAATTTGTTATTTGCCAATCCGGATAGAGCCATAAGATATGGAGTACCATATATAAAGAGAATATTAACTGGAGAGCAGAATTACGTTGTTGCTTCTCATTCAATTATTTACATTTATGAATGTTCTCCAACTCCTCTCGGCAATCGATCCTACAGACATGATGAGATCATCCAATTGATTAAAAGACATATGGAAATAATCAAAAATATGCACGAGAAGGAAAATTAAAATATTTTTATTCAAATCTATGTACAGTTATGAATAACTCTAATTTCTGCTTTGCTCCAAAAGATAATACGGTATTCAACAAATATTTTTATTGGATACAATAATTGTTCGATATAATAAAATTTTTCTTTTTTTGATAAGAAATTGTTTCTATTTTCATAAATATTGATATAAAACTTACTTTTAAGAATTCCTAATGCTACAAATTCCTATATTATAACAAATAACAAAAAATCCAATCGGAATATCAAATAATTATAGCTTTTTTTATAAATTTGAAATCACATTCGAAATTGCCTTCAAATGGTATTGATATGCACTTTATGATATTTCTACATTTATGCCGAGATTTTAATGGCACATTTATCTTTATGTCTGACATCTTAAATAAAGCATATATAATTACCAAAAATTAATAGAAAGCACTGTAATAAATTCAAATAGTATAAACACCCACATTTGAAATTTTCAAAGCAATTATCAAGAAGGAACAGTGTAGATACCAAACCATCTCAATGTCTATATGTGACATATACTTGTGTATCAATATGCTTGAAAACATATGGCAACAAAACAAAGATCAATAGACATCATTACATATAGTCAAAAAATCTATATTCTTGATAATAACATAGTTAATCTATCCACGTTAGTTCTTGTTTTTCAAATGTTAAGCACTCTAAACAGATCAATTGCTTCAATAGCAATAGATAATTAAAATTTCCTCCTCTCAATTTTCAGTATTTCATGAAATCATTCATATGTATTAGAGAATGATATTAATAATAAAAAATATTAAAATTTCATATCTGTAGAAATGTAACGATTATTTTCATTCAATTATATTTAAAATACCGCTGACAGCCTGAAAACTTTTTTAGAACTTTTTTTTTCAAAAAAATAAAATATGAGTTCAACAGATACTCCAGACCTTTATGGACTTAAAAGCTGGCTTAAGAAAAAAGGCACCAATCAAGGTTTATGGCATAAGCGTTTCGTTACGTTAAATGAAAAGAAAATTGTTATTTCAAAAGATGAAGAACAGACTCATATCGAGCAAGTGATTGATTTGGGACCAGATACTACTGCCGAGATAGTAACTGGTGCTTCAACACCAAGATTCCAAGTTATTCCTTCAGCTGGCGCTGATCCATTATTATTTACAGCTGGCTCTCCAGAAGAAGTTGCTCGCTGGGTTGCAGCTATTAATCAAATCAAGTTACCAATGCAGCATCTAACAATGGATAATTTCAGGATTATCTCTGTTATCGGAAGAGGCTTTTATGGTAAAGTCATGCTCGTCCAAAAACTCGATACAGGAGACTTGTACGCAATTAAGTCAATCCACAAGTCACGTATTAACGAACCCGGAAAAGCTAACTCAGTTTTGGCCGAACGTAATATTATGATGAGAGCTCATTATCCATTTTTAGTCAATCTTTGCTTCGCATTTCAGACACCAGCCAAGTTTTACCTTGGCTTAGAATACGCTGCAGGTGGCGAACTTTTCTATCATATGGATAAAGTCGGTACAATCCCACTTAACGATGCTCGCTTATACATCGCTGAAATCGGCCTTGCCCTCTCATATCTCCACTCATTGGGTATTGTTTACAGAGACTTAAAACCAGAAAATATTCTTTTCGATG